CTCTCTCCTCCCCTCCTTCCGCCTACAATCAAGTGTGTCCATTTTTGGGGGGGGGGAGTCTACCTGGCAACCCTACTGGCAAATGCAAAACTCTCTGAAAAGTGGGATTTTTCTGAACATCTAGAAGACAAGCACATGACCAAAATAGCCTCAAAAAATCAGGCTGCTCAAAGAGTAGATACGTTCAAACCAAATGCCTCAAATTAGGCTCCTAAATCTTTATCCGGCCACCTTAAGCAAATGGCTTTGATAATCAGAACTCAAAAATCACTATGGAGTCAGTGGGACTCACTGGGTTCGCAGCACCTTTGAAAGTCTGATCACTTATTTAAGCACCTTTCTTTGAGTACCTAAGCGTGAAAATGTTGATCTAAAAGGCACTTCGTTCTTTTGCTAGCCCTGGTTTAGCATGTCCACTCCAGAACCTCCTGTAGTCCAATATTTTGCTGCTGCTTCTTAGAAATATTCAGCTTTCCAATATCAATGCTACACAACCAATTTATAATTTACAAGGTAAGTCGTTTAGCTTTAAAAAATATCATACCACAGAAAGCGTGCACAATGACAGCGTGATACATTATCTTCGGCGAGGGAAAGGAAATCACACATTTCTAACAGCAACTGTTCATTTAAGCTGACTAAAGATATAAGATGGTTTTAAATATTCATCAGAAGCAGGTATTTTCCTGGCTGTTTGAAAACGCCTCTCACCCGAGAGAAGTAACAAAAAGAATGGTCTTTCATCTACAGTACAAAAGTTAATAAGAGGCTCTGGAGGGAGAAGTGTGCTTCGATTTTTTTACGATCACAGCAGCTGTTGAGAATAAGCCCTGTATGCACAGAATAATAGACCGGCAAGCCAGAGTTTATTTCACATAACTCCAGTTTCAAAACAGTCATTATTTTTACCCAGTTCCTGGAGTACGTAATTACTACTGTAGCACTGCAAAGCATCAATAAAGAAAGGTACTTAAACACGTCTAATTTTAAGTACATGAGCAATTGCATTGACTCCAATGGGACTAGTCACTTGTTAAAACTAGGCACATGCTTAAGTACTCGGCTGCTTTGTGATTGCAGGGGGATCTCCCATGACAACTGTGCTTCCGTGACGATGTTCAAAAATCCCAGCCTTGCAAACGGTAGCATATGTTCTTGGCTCGTAAGAGTGCTGGAGAGACAGGGTTGCCAGCTTTCAAGACTGTATTGTGAGTCTGATAATATTGGGTGGTTTTCATAAAACTCCAGCTCTGGGAGTCATGTGATTATACAAGACACTCAACTTTCGTTTAAAAAACAAAACAACGTTTAGTCTGCCCGGCTGTGGAGAAAAGGTCAAAAAGTAAAACCTAAAAGCTCCAAAACTAGAGGGCAAATAAATAAATTCAAAACCGTGTCGGGAAAAAGGGGACTCATCCTGGAGAGCATCTTTTCGTGGCCCGGTGTGGCATGGCAGCTTTCATTTCATCCAGTGCCTGCTGTCGGCAGCCACTCTGGTCCTCCCATGGCTGTCTCTTCCTGCGACTCACCCCTCTGGCCAGGTGTTGACTTAGTCCATCCTTTCAGGGGAACAGGAAGGCCAACAGGATGGCATCGAAGACCTCGTATCGGGTCTTTGACTGCATCTCAGGGCTCTTCGGTGTCCTTGTTCCTCCTGCAGCCTCATGCAACCATACCAGAGGCTGCTTGGGGAAGCTGTGCCCTCCCACTGTAATGGGTTCTAGCCTAGAGACCCTAAACCCAGCAGCCAAAATCTGCTTAGTCCAACTCCTTGCACCTGCTTCCCTGAGGATTTCCTGGCGCAGCCTCTCTGTGGCCTACTCCCGAAACCGTTCTCCGTCCTCTCCTCTCTCGTGGCTGGGACTCCCATGGAACGCCTTCACAAGCTCCCAGCCTGGCCGAACACCCCTCTCCATTAAATGCCTCTCAAGGCTCCCTCCCCAGGACTCCAGTCCCTGCCCTTTTGCCAGGGCTCCTTACCAGAGGGGCCGTTTTATGTAACTACTGGCTACTTACCAGCCTTATCGACTCAGGAGAGGCTCCAGAGCTTTCTGTCTCTCTGGGCTGCCTTCTCTGTAATCCCAGAGCGACATCAGACTCTCTTCCCGAGGCCCCCTCTCTCTGAACTTCTTGCCTGTATAACGGCTCCCCAGCGCCTTCCCAGCAGGGCTCCGGCACTAATTAAGTCTGGCCTATGCTCCAGGTGCAACCACATGACGTAATTGGCCGCTGATGCCCTCATTTCCCTTTCAGGGACTGAGTGGGGTGCCTATCCCGTCCCACTTACTTCTGAAATCTTACAGTTTTTCAGGCCTGACTCTGACTGCGCAATGCTTGGGGTTGGCAGCACCAGAGAGAGAGGATATTGTGTTTATGATGTGGTAGAGGCACTGTGGCTTTGGCTTTTTGTTGCTTGTTTATAGACACTACTATGGTGCTCGTCTCTTAACCCGAGTACCTCATAATACCACAACAATACATCCAATGACTTCTACAAGATCGGATATAGAGGCCTGGCAGTAACACTGCCATTAGGGAGGCATCAGCAGTATCCTGCTGGAATGGCCGCCATCTTGGATGACACAATGGAGCTCAGCCAGAGCTAAGAACATACGTTGCTGCTACTGCTTAAGGGCAGGCTCCCCAGTTGGGCCTGGTACAGATTTATAGCCTCTGGGGATCTGGCACCAAGAGGCACCCGTACCACTCACTCATCAATTGCTTATGTACATCCTCTTCAAAGGAGACTCTTCTGAGCATCTCAAGCTCATAGCTATTTGAATTCTGGGCCAGCCCATGCTTATGTGACAGTCTCCCACAATGCACCAAGGTCCCTCTAGAGTAGGGATGGGCAATAATTTTTTGCCAGGGGCCACTACAAAAATTTTGAAGTGGCCCCGGGCTGCATCGGAAGGAGCAGGACCTCAAACAAAAGGGACAGGGACAGGATGCGTTGGGCTTCCCTACTCACAGACCATGATTGGTTTGGGGTTGGGGGAACCCCTTTGCCCCCCCCCCCCCACTAAGCACCCACTAAGATTTCCTGTGCTCCCCCACCCCCAGGGCAATCAGGGCTTGGAGGCAGGGGAGCACGCGAAGTCTCCTCCCGCACTGTGAGGAGAGTGCGGAGCTTCAGAGCCACGTGCTCCCAGCAGGACAGAGGAAACTTTGTGCGCTTCCCCCAGCCTCCAGGTCCTAATTGGCCTGGGGGCGGGGGAGTGGCAGGGCTCTGCAGATCAGATCAACCTGCTTGGCAGGCCGGATCAGCCCATGGAGGCCCTTTTGCCCACCTCTGGTCTACAGCTTGAGATAAAGAGCCAAGCCTCTCTAGCTGGGGGGGAACGGACAGTAACAGACTCATATTCTCTCTCAGTGAGGCACAGAGGGAGGCCTGTAACACACACGGACTCGTGGGTTATGCCAGGATACACAAACACCCAGCTGGATTCTGAGCTGGGGATTTGAGAAAGAGCTAAATCTTCATTTAAAAATGTAAGTCCCTCCTTCTTTTCCTCGGAACAGCCCGGTTCGGATTCAGGGAACACTGTCCAAAGCATCTCACTCAGTTCTTCAGTGTCTGAGCAGAGATGCACCAAACATCGCTGTGCATCTGGCGACTTACGCAAAGGGCTCTGAAGACCTGGTCTGGATTTAGTTTGGAGTTTGGGAGGTAAGGTTTTGGAACAGCGTCAGTCTTCATTTTGGGTGCTTAAACCATCATTTGAGTCTCAGAGACAATCATTTAGAAATAAAATGTATATTTGTTATGAGGAGTCAAATTTGGGCCTTGCCACCCTTGACAATATCTCTTCAGCATCAACCTGGCCAGAGGTGCTCAGATCAAAGGGGGATTGCTCAGTGCAACTTTTATATTACGTTGTTATTTATATCGCAAATGCTCTCTTGGGTTCCTGTCAGACTCGGCGGCACTTTGTGCCATCTGTCATACTCTTACGGTCCCTGCCACACAACTCTAAGAGAATTAACATTCCCTCAAGCTTGCCGGGCATTTCAGCCTTCAATTGTACCGTCCCTTGAAACCACTGCTGCTTGTTCATTTCTCATGCAAGATGGGAACCCGTTAATCGATTTTTCATTTGAAAAACGGCGGTGTGGCCTACTACATACCATCACCACTAGCACCACCGAAAAGAAGGGCTATCAAAAGTGGGGGGAAAAAAGATGGCAAGTGGCCAGAGAACATTAAAGAGAGATTCTACACCACAAAGCAGCCTATAAAAATAGAATCAGGAAGCGGAGTGGTTGTGGTCCCCCAATGATTTCACTTGAAATATGTGAACTGTTCCACTCATAGGCCAATTCCGTGGGTGCTCCATGGTGGAGCACTCATGGGGAAAAATTAGTATGTGTGGAGCAGGCACCGGCACCAAGCTCTCCCCTCTGTCTCCTCCCCGACGTGTGTCACACATCGGTGGGCCCATGTGGACCAACTCCTCTTTCTCTTTCCCGGTGCTTCCAGAGCACCGGGAACAGCTGATTTGCAGTGTTGAAGAGGGAGGGGGAGGATTGGGGACAGGGAGGAGGGGGAGAAGAGGTGGGGTGGGGTACAGCAGGGATGGGAAGAGGCAGAGTGGGGGGGTCAAGTGATGGGGGGAGGAGTAGAGTGGGTCGGGGCCTGGAGAGGGAGGGGAGTCAAACATCCTCAACAAAATCAGAATTTGGTGCCTATGGTCCCACTGATTTTAAATGAGATTATTCTTGTGCAAATTTAAGCATGTGTTTACACTCTGGATTGAGGCCTTTAAAAGCGCAATAATTTATATTAAAAAGATGCAATATTAAAGAATCAAAATAATGTATAACTTGCCATTCTCAAACAAGGTTGAGAATGGCTCTCGGGAATTTTATGTATAAGCAAGTATCCAAGGGAAGAAATGACAACAGCAGAAAAGCTGGATGAAAAAGAAATAACCTCAGCTTGTCTGATAATATTTTACTTCCAGTTTAAAAAAAAGTGCAAATTAAGTCAAACCACTTACACAGAGAACGTGCAGGACTATTGCTCCATGTCTCCTGTCCTCGTTTGAAAAGATGTCACTGGGGAATTCATGAAGAGCTGGGAAAGGAGAAGAGAGAAACACTTAATCATGGTATTGGAAAGATGCAATATGCTGTAAAGAAAGGCAATAAAACCAGCGGGGTCCTTCCGTGGGTTGGTAATCTTACAACAGATATGAATGCTATGGGTTGCTGCTACTGCTTTAAGTTATGTTAGTTTGCTTAACCTGTCCTCTGGCCATTTATAGATCTGTGTATATTTACTGTGTAATTCAGAGTCAGAGCAACCATAATCATATATCTCACAAAGATGCCTCGGAGATAACGAACAAATTCTAAGCACAGCATCACACGCCATAAAACGTTATGGAAGAAGATGTTTTATTCTGGATTAAGCAGATGAGGAGTCAGACACCTCAGAAGGCATTTTTCTTTTACACAATGTTTTCTATTTAAAACGGGAAAACCCTCAGCCTGGGAAGAGGAGGAGAATGGCAGTTGCTGGAAATGTTTAAAGTAAAAACGATTTCGTGCCGTGGGCTTTCCACAGCATAATCTACTCTTGGAATACACCAAACTCATCCTGGGTAGGAATCGCTGGGTCTAGTCTCAGAGTCAGACCTCTCCAGTCACCATTTTGGTCTGGCCAGAGGAATAAACATAATACAGAGCTGTATGCAGAGAAGGCATTTACCATATGAGTGCATTGCGTGGGGGGAGGGGTGCTCGATCCCTAGTGAAATAAATGTTGACAAATAATCCTCTCCCTCAGCAAACATCGCCCATTTGATCTGAACACATGACCAAAAGGCCAGTTCAAACCAAGCATGAAACAATCCTTTCCAAAGTGGGTGCCCACCGCTGTCACTGGCGGATTTACAATAGAGGCCGTTTCCTCCCCACGAGTGATAGGAACGGTCACCTCTGCATTCTGCCGGGTGGGGAAGATGTCACAGCTCGAATGGTAGCTCGATACTAACGTCATCCCAGGGGTGTCACGATGAACAGAGAGCTGCTTAGCCCGTCTCCCTCTGGAGCAATACCAGATCTGAACATGCATCTGCCCATGTATTTTTGGACCAGTTCTTCATATGGCAGAAAAGGCATTCCCCCGCAGTCATGTTTTTCACATCTCGCCAGGGTACTTCGTCCACTTAGCTCCTGGGAGCTAGAGGCCTAAATACCGTTGGAGAATCTGGGCCGAGGTGCCTTGCCCAAACTCTCATGCGCGTCTCCTCTGGTTGAACCAAGGATATGCAAGATGGGAGCAGGCCTGCTGATGGAGGTCTAAAAAGGGGCAACTCCTCAGGGGCTTGGTAATTTTGGGGGCTCAGCCGCTGCCACAGTAGTCCTGCATGGGGCAAAGCCAAAGTGTCTTTGACTACAGAGATGTGGCTGCGCCTTTCACTAAAGCAGGCAGGCTGGGTCTGGAGAAGAGAGGGGAGGTACAGCACGGCTGCTCCAGGGCTCATCCCTGGGAGGGAGCTGGGCTGATCCAAGGCAGCGTATGGGGGGTGGCACGTGGGGCTTCTCTGGGTGGGGAAGCAGCTTGTGGCCCAGCCAAGGGAGGGGGGGCAAGAGGCCCATCGATTTCTTCTCTGGGGTCTAGAATTGCTGTCGGTGGCCTGGATGAGAGCCACATCTTAGCTGAAGAAGTGGGTTTTGCCCATGAAATCTCATGATAACACGGCTACTCCTCTGAGACTCTTACAGTTCTTACGAATGGACTTACGTTCACAGTGGCGCACAACTGGCAGGACAAGTCAGAAGGATTTTATGACAGTAGACTTGGGAGATTAAAAAATGTACAGTTTTATAACTCACAGACTGTCAACACTGTGTCGCAAAAAAAGTCAATACCCTTCAATCAAGAAATCATTCTTCTTGTCACTCTTCATTCACTAGTCCATTTGTAAAAAGCCTAAATCACTGGATTTTCACTCTAGTAAAGTTCTAAGATCATAAGAACGGCCATACTGGGTCAGACCAAAGGTCCATCTAGCCCAGTGTCCTGTCTGCCCACAGTGGCCAATACCAAATGCCCCAGAGGGAGGGAACACAACAGGGAATCCTCATATGATCCCTCTCCTCTCACCCATTTCCAGACAAACAGAGGCCAGGGACACCATTCCTACCCACCCTGGCTAATAGCCATTGATGGACCTAACCTCCATGAATCTATCTAGCTCTTTTTTGAACCCTGTTAAAGTCCTAGTCTTCATCACATCCTCTGGCAAGGAGTTCCACGGGTTTACTGTGCGCTAAGGGAAGAAAAACTTCCTTTAATTTGTTTTAAACCTGCTGCCTATTAATTTCATTGGTTATCCCATGTTCTTATATTGTGGGAATAAGTAAATAACTTTTCCTTATTCCATTTTTCCACAGCAGTCATGTTGAGATGGTACAAAAGAGGTGCAAACTACATTATTGGATGCATCCTTGAGCTCACTTCTGAACTTTGCCCTAAATATATTTGCAGATCAGAAACAAATTCCTTTTTGCCTTAACCACTTCTCTGTGTCTTCAAGGTGAGCAAGACCCTCGTTGTAGGATATCAGCTCTACAAGAAGATTTGTTACTTCTCAGAACAAACTATGCCGAAAATAGCAAAGAACTCTGAAGGCAAGGATTTTCACTGTGTGGTGCAACACACTTACTGTTACTACGTCCCCCATAATCATAACACCTAACGCACACAGCTGGAGAATAGTGGTTTGGAAGTTGCATGGTACCCAACACTACATTAATAACAAGCGAATGTGTCACATGTGCAGTTGACTGCCATGCTACTCCTCAGAAAAAGGGTGAATGCACTTAACATTAACCGACACTTGGAAGTACAAAAAGGACTAAATATCAGTGATTAGAAAATGAAAGAAATAATAACTAGCTCTTATATACCACTTTTCATCCGGAGTTCAAAGTGCTTTATAGGAGAGCAGTATCATTATCCCCATTTTATGGATGAGGAAACCGAGGCACAAAGAGGAACATTCCTTGACCAAGCTCAACCAGCAGGCCAGTGACAGACCTACCAATAGAACCCAGATCTTCTGAGTCCCACCCCAGTGCTCCATTCACTTGGCCTCACTTGCTAAAGAGTTAGCAATTGAAAGCCAATCACATTTGAAAGCCAATCAGATGGCTAAGATGTTACCAGACACTCACAGCTTCATCTCAGTGTCATTCCAGTACTTACATAAATTACTGGAAAATAAGTCCTATTTCAAGTGGCTATGCCCTAGGGCCACTATTCCTCATAAGAGTTCCAGCTCTCGCTCTTACGTTCCTAATCAAAGGTTGCGTGCTACTTTGTGTGGGACTCGGGTGTCTTTCAAAACCAAGCCCCACTTACACAGTCCAGTAAACAGACTCTGCAGAGATAAAAGCAGCTCTATATTTAGATGGATCTGCCTGTGTGCGAGAAGATTCCATCGGATGCTCTGTATTCATTTCAAATAATAGCTTTTCCCCTGCAGCAGACTCAAAGGCAAAGTTATTATTGCTCTGAATGAAGACTATAAATGTTTACTCTGCAGTAATGCTGTAGGGTTCAGGCAAACTCCATGGTCTAATTAGCTTAGAAGAGAGCATCTGTTGGTAGAAGTGAACCATGAACAAACTTCATGCAGAGATGTAATTATTTCAAATAATATGAGGGAACAAAAAAAACCCCAAATCAGATGCATTTTAATTCAGTGCAACTGTCCATCATGAGGAAACACAGGCCCCGTTTCTGATCTCAGCTATCCTGTAAATCTCAAGTAACTTCATTGAGAATGGAGGGTTTTTTACAGCAACACAACTGAGATTGAAATCTGGGCCCTAGTCTCTTTGCTCAGTTGGACGGCTGTGGGCCATGGATTCTTTAGGAATCTGTATTCTTAATATTGAAACAGAAAAGAAATAGATTAAAATCTGTTCAGTATTAATACATTTTGGCTAATCAAATGCTTGTAGGGCACAAATAACACTAACTGCAGTACAATTGAAAAAGGGTTCGATTGTCTTTTAGCTACCACAGTCTGAAGCCTGTAACCAATGGAGTGGAGCCGCTGTTTCTTCATTCAGAGCCACGTTGCACCTACTTTCACGTCCTTCATTACAAGGGGAGAGGAGGATCAGCTCTATCGTGTGTATTAAATGTACACACATGTGAAGGATAGGAAGAGTGCTCTCCTTTTCTGGGCATCCCAGCATTCAGTAACTAAAGAGTTAAACTTGGGTAGCTATGAGGTGTTGGCAGGGAGCCAGAAGAGCCAATGGGAGAAGATGTTGAGATATGAACTGAAAGGAACCGAACGTGCTGCTTTTTGTGCGTGTGTGTTTAAGCTAGAATGTCTATTCAGACACGATCAGGTTATTTTCTTTATGGTGTTGTTTGGTTAAACTTCTCTGTGCTAAGTCCATGTTCACCCCCATACAATATAACTTTAAACTGAATCCCAGGGATGAAATTCTCTGTGTTTTAATTTATTTTCTCAGTTGCATTAAAACACCTAGCAACCAAGTATGCGTTACCAAGTATATCTTTTTGTTTTGTTCATAAAATCACCTTTTTGAAGGCGATGATTTGAATCTTATGTCCTGAAAGGTAATATGCATGCCTAAGACTGAGAGGTCAGCTATCAGGGTATGTCTACACTACAGCACTAATTCGAAATAACTTAATTCCAATTAGTTAATTCGAACTAAGCTAATTCGAACTAGTGCATCTAGACCTAAAAACTAGTTCGAATTAGCATTTTGCTAATTCGAACTAGCATGTCCACATTGAGTGGACTCTGAACCGAGGTTAAGGCTGGCCAAAAGCAGTGCCGGCAGGGCATCAGATTAGAATTTAGAGCGTGGAGCTGCTGCCTCAGGCTAGCCAAGGGCTGTGCTTAAAGGGACCCGACCCCCACCCCGGACAGACAGTTCTCAGGGGTTCCCCGCTTGCTTGTCTAACTCGATGAGAGATAGCACAGCAGTCCTGTCTTGGAATGCCCTGAGTGTCCACACTCGGCACATCACAGCACTTGGCCATCAGCCCGGCTGCACTTGCCGCAGGCTGCCATC